CCTCCCTATCTCCCTCTCTCTTTCTCTTTCTTTCTTTCTTTCTTTCTTTCTTTCTTTCTTTCTTTCTTTCTTTCTTTCTTTCTTTCTTTCTTTCTTAATTTTATCACCTATATGTATTCTTGGAAATTTTGTTATTTTATTGGTTTTGACCTTAGAAAAAGAGCATCCCACTTTAAGTGAATTTTTCACCTTTCTTCAATTACTGTTATTTCTATCATTTGCATATGTTATTATATTCAACTAAGCTTCATTTATTATGACTTCTGTGTAATATTTGTCTTTGTAATTATGACCTGGTCTTTAAAATCTGTCACTGTTAATGGGCATTTGGATTGTCTCTGGTTTTACTATGACAAGTAGTGTTGTCATGGACATTATTATGCATAGGAATACAAATGGAGTCATTTCTAGAGTAATAAAGGTCAAGTAATTGTCTTTTCCTTTACCATACCTATAAATGAGGATGGAGTCATTCTACATTTCTAAATAACTTAAGCAAAATTTCATGAGTGGAATTTCCAGATGATTCCTCCAGTTTCCTCATTCCTTATGACCAAGTTTGAGCAAGAATTGATCTGCTCCTTTGCACGCTTACTTGGTTCTGTTTTCTCCTCGTACTTTCAGCAGCATTAAGAAAGAATGATGTGTAATAAGTTGGGTAATTGTATATAGAATGATGTATGGCGTTGCTGGATGACGCTGCCCGACTTAGTTCCTAAGCACTTCAGTTAAGAGTAGTTCTCTCTCACCCTCATCCGCCCTGTATGTATGTATGTTTGCAGCCGCACTGAGATCTAGAATGTGCCTTTTTCTAGATGATGCCACCATTCACTTCTTAGGAAGCCCGTCACTCATGGAGCATGAAGGAGTGCGGCTAGAAAGACCAGCAAGCCTTAGCCCTGTGAATAGCTGACCCTCCTTCAGGCCTGACAAAGGTCAGGGCGTTGCTGAGAATTCATCAGCTCCTTGTAAAAGAAGCCTCCGTTCTGTCAGCTGGCATTTATTACGGTGGTCACGTGCCAAGCCTTGACAGCGGCTTTTCATTTCTGTCATTCTTCTCTCATGGAAGGACCTTCGAGCTCTTTGTCACTTTCAGGCAGAGAAATGGCTAGTTCAGAGGTCTCAGAAATACAGTCTGGACATGTTGGAATTCATTTGTTTATTTCAGTCATCAGGACTTAAACATCTATAATACACAACACCTTGGTCCTCTAGATGGCAGAAAGATCCGAGCGACGATGAGTGGGCGTCAGAATGGTGGGTTCTGCATCGATTGTGTTTCTGTTGGAATACACAGTTCTTCGGGAGCGGATGTTTCCGCCTTCCATTCTGAACAGGATGTGGCTGCTTTTTATCTTCACCTACAGGTATGCAGTGGGATCACTGGAGTCACAGTTCTCAATGTGTACATGTGACTGTATGCCAGGGTAAACTTTCTGCAAGGGCAGCAGGGTGCCCAGTTTCTCTCCCTTTTTGATAGAACCTTTATACTTAATTGGCTTAATGTAGAAAATTTTGACACAGAAACCTAAAAGAAAATGAAGATATTATTTGGACTTCTGTAGCTTTGAATCAGAAATTAAAAGCACAGGACTGGGGGGATAAGTTAGTTGGGAAAGTGCTTGTCTTGCAGGCATAGGGACCTGGGTTTTATTCCTATAACCCATGAAAAAAGCTGAGAATTGTGGCATGTTCTCGTCATCTCTGGCCTGGGGAGGTGGAAACCGATGTATTCCTGGCTCCCTGGCCAGCTAGCCTAGCCTACTGGCCAAGCACTGGGCCAATGAGATACCTTGTTCCAGAAAGCAAAGTAGATGATACCTGAGGAATGATACCAGAAGATGACTTTGCCCTTTACACACACACACACACACACACACACACACACACACACACACACACATGCATACAAATGCAAAATGTGTACACACAAACTTAAAATATAAAAACAGTAGTGGAGTTCTTGTGAGACCTCCAAGGTGGTCCGCCATGTCAGGATGAAGCTGGGTTTCGCCTTCCCAGCCATGGCTGTCAGAAACTCACTGAAGTGAATGATGAATTTGAATTTTGTACTTTCTCTGAGAAGCTCATGGCCACAGAAGTGGCTTCTGATGCTCTGGGTGAAGAGAGGGAGGGCTAAGTGGTCCAGATCTGTGGTGGGAATGGCAAACAAGGTTTTCCCATGAAGCAAGAGGTCTTGACCCACAGCAGAGTGCACCTGCTGTTGTGTAAGGGGCGTTCTTGTTGCAGATCAAGGAGAACTGGAGAGGAAGGTGCCAGGCTGCTCAGGGATGCACTGTGGATGTCATTCTGGGCGTTTTCAACTTGGTCATTGCAAAAAAGGAGAGATGGATCTCCCTGGACTGACAGATAGTACTGTGCCTCAGTGGTTGGAGCCACAAAAGCTGGCCTAATCTGGAAACTTTACAATCTCTTTAAAAAAGATGGCGTTCACCAATATGCTGTCAGAAGGCCCTTAACGAAGAAGGTAAGAAAGCCAGGACCAAAGATCCCAAGATTCAGGAACTTGTTACCCCACATGTCCCGCGGGTCCTGCCACACAAATGCCGATGCATTGCTAAAGGCAAGGAGGAGGCTGCAGAAAGTGCTAAGCTTAGGGCCAAGAGAACAAACGAAGCCTAGGGAGAGCGCCAGGAACAGATGGCCGAGAGACGTAGGCTGTTCTTGCTGTGAGTGTCCGCTGCTAAGTCCAGCCAAACGTGAGCCTTTAAGAATGACGAGTAATGATCAGACAGGGTGGGGTGGGGGTGGGGAAAGGCAGAAGTGGACAAAAAAACAGAAAGAAGCAGAACTGGATAAACTCAGGAAGACAGAATCCTGTTTTAAAACAAGATTATGGAGAATAGATTCAAATAAAAATCTAATAAAATATTGGAGAATAGTAGCAGAAAAGCATTAGACAGTAGAAAATTGACCCAGAATAGTGTTATGTCTAAGACATATATAGTCTAACAAAACTACTAATCCTAAAAAAGAAAAATGGAAACAAACAAAAAGATACTTTTCTAAATATATGTGTAAATGTGTATATATATTTAGAATATATATATTTATGTATACATCTATCCTAAATATAATTCCAAGTAGAGACATAGTATAATGTAATAATTATAAAATAGGATAGTGTTGGGATCAAATATGAGTGGTCTAAAAGTGTGAACAGGCTTGTCTTCTTATAACTTTTCCCTGGTGGCACAAATAAACCCATTTTGTGCTGCATCTAACAATACCAGTGATTGAAAAGGCCAAAGATAAAGACTTGGACAAAGATTTGCCAAGGAGACGGAGGCAGCAGAAAGCAAGGATCCTGTTACCAGAGACCAGAATGACTCCAAACACGTTGAAACAGACAGGGAATAATGTTCGGCACTGGCGGCCCCTTCCCGAGGAAGAGGCGACCTCACCACTGTCCGTGCTCTAACTGACACAGGAGCTGCTAAAGGGGAAACTTGAACGTGTTTCTCTCAGTGCAGACGGAGAAAGGACGATCGGGGTGGGAAGTGAAGCTGTGGAATTGTACTGCCCCGTATAGTAACTGGAAGCCAACAAGGCAAGCGGTTAACATGGAGTTAGTGTGAATTTAGATTTGCTTCATGATCAATACACAGTGCATTTTAAGCAACCAGCATAAAATGAAAAAATATTTCAGTAGTTATTTTATTTTATTTGTTGGCTTGTTTGGCTTTTTGAAACGCGGTCTTCCATGTAACTATGGCAGGTCTTCCCAATGCTGGAATTGTGACCCAGCTGGCAATTGCTGGAGACAGAGTCTCCCTCTGGAGCCGAGGCTGACCTGGAGCTCATGTAGTTCTCATGCCTCAGCCTCCCAAGTGCTGAGATCACACGTGTGAACGACCACACTCAGCTATGTGGATTTAATCATATTTAAAATACTGTTTTGGAGACACTGGGTTGAATAAATATTAAAATCGGTTTTATGTTTATTTTCCTTCAGTGAGGCTGCTAGAAATATACAATTCCATATTCAACTTGTATTATGTTTCTGTTAAATCCTGCTGCTGCAGACGGTCTAAGAAAACTCATACGTTACCCTTAGACACTAAACAAAAGATGACAAGATATGGGAGTTTCTATACAAAAACTAATAGGGCAAGTATTGAAACAGTTAGAGCTCTAATCAGAGGGCACGATGGTTCATTGAAGGACTGTTGGCTTAAAGACACCATTACACCATCACACACACACACACACACACACACACACACACACACCCCATCACACACACCA